TATATATATATTATATTGTGAATATAAATATATATTTATTATACTTGCCTTCTATATCGTGATCGAAGCAATTCATCAAAAATACACATGTTGATACATGCAAAAACAGAGAACGAGAGACATTTAATACATTAAGATTTTTCTTTACAAATGAAAACGTACAAATCGTGAAAAATATTGCTTCTTTTTGCCGCGGTATAAAAAAAAGAGAAGAAGAAAAATGTTTTAATATTTAGAAAAATGATTAAAAATAATTAAGCATAGAGTTGTTCAGTTACGCAACAAATCACATCGTCGATATTTAAAAATTGTGAAGTTCTTCTTATATCTTGAATTTATTGGTTTTAAGCAAATCATGCTCATTTTCTTATTAAAAAGAAGTAACATGTGTGTGTGCATTAAGCTTTTAAGTGCTATGCATAATTCACTAATTTTCCCATTTTATCATCGTTATTCGATAATGAACTCACATAAGAGTGTTTATGGGGTGCCTCCACATAAGCTATCGGTATTATCCTGTTCTTGTAGATTCGAAGAACCTCTTCATCGGGTACGGGATGCAAGCCACGATAAACGGCCCCCAATTGAATTTGCAAGAAGCTGTCGAGTTTCAGCAGGAGACCTTTCTCGATGTCGTAATGGAGGCCGCGAACGGCAAAATTTTCTCTGTACTCTAGATTGGCAATTCCCTCTGGATACTGGAATAATTAAGCTTGTTTAAGTGAACTTCAAGATGAAATTCTAATCAGTTGTAATTGTCCTTTGATTTCGGAAGAAATTTTGAGGAGCTGAACTTTAAGGTGAAAAGACAAGCGTACTATTACACATTTAATTCTTTCACCTTTCATTAAAGCAGAAACTAAAGCTTTTACTAAAGTTTTTAATAAAGCACAAACTATTTTTCATAATTAAATAATATTTATCTTGAAAATGATAAAAAGATTTGCAATACATACGAAATACATTTCTTTTATTAATTATTAAATATATTTGACCAAAGACATTTTAATTATATTTTTTTTATTATTATACAAAAAGTTGATTCTAGATTTTATTCAAAGAAGTAAAAGAATTGCATATATAAATACATATCTTATCGATTTGATTAATTCAGCAAATTTATCACAAAATAGAGACCTTATATTTTTTAATAAGCATATCACGACCCAGGCTGTAAAGCAAGTAGTCCATAGATGGCTTGTAACACGCCAGCGTGTAATCGTAATCAAATCCATAGACCTGGACCTCTTTCAAATCGAGCTCGTTGCAAGCAAACACGCCTTTGGGATTCACATCTTGCGGCAATTTCTTTGCTATAAAATTACGA